GGACGATGAGGCGCCGCTTGCAGAGCTAGCCGATGGCGAGCCAAGCGATGAGAGGGTACTCCGGGCAGCAGCCAACTCTCCCGAGCACCTTCGATCACACTTCCCAAAGAATCCATTCTGTCGGATATGTGCGATTGCTAAAAACACCGCAGCGCGTGTTGCTCACAAACACCCGATGGTCGTGCCGATGACGGGATCGACAATCCTACTGCCCCGTTTCAACAGCTCGCCACTGACAGTGTCATCCTTGCGAAAGGAGATGAACATGCGGGCATTGGAGTCGGAGGGATTAAATCTCATCACGTCATCAGGGATGTTTTCTCTGGAGCAAGGATTGCATATCCTGTATCCAAAAGGGACACAGCAGCCCATTCCAAAAATCTAAGGCACTTCCTAGGATTGAAAGCCAACGAGCTCTCTCCGACATGTCTAGTCAAAATGGATGAAGCTGGAGAGCTTGAAGCGGCAGCTCACGAGGTCGGATTAACACCCGAAACCTTGTTGCCGAACCGATGGCCCCACAATGCCGAGTTGGAAAGGGACATTAGGGAAGAAAAGGAATGTTGCAGATCCATCCACCTCCAGAGTGGGTTGCCATACGATCTACACACTCACTCCTATCCCTTTGCGTGCCTCTCCATGTCATTCGACAGACCTGCAACATTCGACAAGGCTAAGACCCAATGGGAAGCCTTGACAAAGTCGAAGTTCGATGGCATTAGACATTGCTTTGGTCAGCTTGTCTATTACCGTAAAAAGGGCATTAATAAGCGCACTCTAGAACCCAACTTGGCACCTGCTTTGTTTTTGGGCTGGAGGGTTGACGCAGGCCTTCGGTGTCGCCATGTGGTCAAGGTCCTAGATTATCAAGAATTTAGGACTCGTCGAGCGATTGTAGTGCATGATGTCCCGGAAGCAGAACTCGTTGAAGAAGGTGAGCCTTGCTTCCCCGTTGCGGCAGCAGCCCACAAGGCGCTGCGGACGGGGGAAGCCAAGGGTGAGCTCCCAGAAGTCGCTCTTAAAGAGGTTCCGTTTAGCGAAGTAGCTGCACCGCCGACTCCGGCTCCAGGCACGCCGCGAGGCGTGTACATCACTGTGGATCGGATAATTCGGTTCCGTGAAACACCAGGTTGTCGAAGTTGTACTGGGCGCACCCGGTACCATACCCCCGAATGTCGACGCCGCTTTGCAAGGCTTGTCGATACAGAGAAAGCCGAGGAGCGTTCCAAGCGCTCGGCTGCCGTCGAGGTAGAGCGGTCACTTCGCCCCTCCGAAGCGATTGACCCAGTTCATGCAGCCGAGGAGGCACGTCTCGAAGAAGACGATGCCGACCTTAAAAAGGCACTTGAGCTTTCCCGCCTTGAAAAGGCAGATCTATCTGATCCCGATGAGCTCGAGAAAGCACTGAGGGCATCCGAAGAGCATGATGATGCTCTTCGCGGCAAGCCAGCTCCGTCTCGGCCAGGGGGGATTCCTCCAACCGCGCCGCCTGCAGCCACAACTGGCGCGGCAGTGACAAAAACCACTGCAACCTCCACGTCACTCACGTGCCACGTAGCCGACTCCTTCACCAAGAGGGAGGCTCGGACTCTGCCAGTGTTCGGCATGCCATGTTCCAAAAAGGAGCCATGCAAAATGTTTTCCGTAGGGAATAAGAGGGCCCGCAAGCGTATCGCGCGGGGAAATTCTATGCCTGTAATGTTCGAGTATGCTTGTTCAAGTGACTCCACTATGGGAGCAGTGCATCAAGCATTGGGCATTCCCCACGTGAGACTGGCTAAGGAACACATCGATCTTGAAACCAATGAAGGGGATGAGCAACTGACCGCTCAGTTGAAGTCTTGTTGCAAGCCTAACATGTGGGCAGCCATTCCGTGCACCTCCGGGTCGCCATGGCAAAGGCTAAATGTCCATAAGTATGGCAATAAATACAAGCAGTATCTCCGTGCACAGGTTAAAAGGTCGGAGGCGTTGTTCGCAAGGTTCACAAAGCACGCCGAAGTAGTGATAGAACAAGAGGGTCACGTCACTTTCGAGTGGCCTCGCGACTGCGAGGGATGGGAGCGCCCCGACGTAAAGGCATTCTTCGAGAAGCATGCGTCTCGCTTCCACTCAGTGACTTTCCACGGGTGCGCAGTAGGTTTGACTGACAAGGAAGGGACTCCCATCAAGAAGCCGTGGCGTCTCATGACCACATCCAAGGAACTTCATGATGGGTTCCAGAATAGGACATGCCCCCATCAACACTCCTTCAAGCATGCACAGGCCGCAGGTAGCAACACTGCACGCACCGCCTTTTATCCACAAGAAATGTGCAAGATAATCGCTAGTGCGTTATATCCACATGTCGCAACACCATGCGCGCCTGCAATGCCAGTCCAGGCTGTCATCGTGCAAGAGGAGCATCGGGAAAAGGAGCAGTCCTTGAAGCATACCTCCGCACTTGCGGGTGTTGGGGCTCTCGCGTCAGTTGTTGAATCAGATCCAACCTCCCGCAGATTCTTTGAAGAACTCTTTGACTTGGATAATCTCGTTAGGGAAATTCAGGGAATTCCAAAGCAGGAGACTTCTCCCGACATAGCCGCCATGGTCACAAAACTTCTTTCACGTTCAGAAATGCTTGCCTCGTCCGAGGCATTGCAGGCCATAAAGGAAGAAGCAGACGGCTTAGGTAATGCGGGAGTCTGGGATCTCAGCACCGTGAGAGAACAAGGAGAGGTCGCTGCTGAAGCGCGACGGACGCACACTAAAGTCCACTTCGGGCAACTAATGACTATCGCCTCCATCAAATTCTTTGAGCTAGCAAAGCATCTACAGAAAGTGAAGGGGCGTATAGTATACCGAGGGGACTGTGCGCGGGACGAATATGGGGCGGCGGCCGTTTATCAAGAACTCGGCGCCAACCCTACGTCCAGGGTTTGAACAACTGCCTTGCCTATGGCTCACTGCCAGGTCACAAAACCACGGCGGCAGATGCCGTAAAGGCATATATCCAGGCCCTACTTCGATCTCAACACCAGACGTGGATATCATTGCCGCCGGAACTTCGTCCGAAGTGGTGGAAAGAAAAGTTTATACAGCCGGTAGCCCTTCTAGTAAAAGCACTCTACGGTCACCCCGACGCGGGGGGGCTATGGGAGCAGCACTTCAAGAAGATCTTGAAGGAGCAGACCGGAGAGGAGATCCAAGAATTTCCAGGAAACTTTTACTTCCCCTCAACCGGCTTAATGCTGTTCACTTATGTGGATGATCTAACACTTTCAGGGCCGGCAGAGCAGCATGATCCCTGTTGGGAAAAGCTGATGTCATGTGTTGATATTGAACCCCCAGAACCGATATCGTGTTTTGGGAAGGAATCATGTCATCATTAACGCCCCGAAGTGCGAGCCTAATCCAGCCGAGAGCGCAGCCTTTGGCGCGCTGTCCAACGCAATGGCTTTTGATATGGTTGACTACGCCAAACAAACTGTTGATCTATATGTCTCCATTTCAGGTCAGCCGATTAGTAAGCTCCGCAAGGCATTGACCCCATTCTGTCCAGAAGGGTCATTGCCAACACAAGATGATGCCCCAGCAGGTGAATTGAGCTCAGCCGCTTGTAAAATCTTGATGAAGGCCTTGTGGTTGGGACGTCTTGCACGTCCAGACATAATCAAGCCCATCGGGGATCTTGCAACGTGCGTTCAAAAATGGTCGCGTAATAGTGATAGGCAGTTGGCTAGGCTAATAGCTTACATTAACACGACCACAACGCACAGGTTGGTTGGCACAGTTCAAGACGATCCCAGAGAGCTGCATCTTGCGCTCTACGTCGACGCTGACTTTGCAGGAGAGGAGGGGGCTAAGTCTACATCAGGGGGGTTTCTCGCCCTGAAAGGCCCGAATTCCCACTTCCCTTTAGCATGGATTAGCAAGCGCCAGACTTCTGTGTCGCGTTCCACTACAGAAGCAGAGATTGTGTCGTTAGCATTTTCTTTGTATCAGGAGGGACTCCCAACACTTAGTCTGTGGGATCGACTATTGGGTCGCCCAATGACCCTCAGGATCCATGAAGACAATCAAGCTACTATTCTGGTTGCAAGGAAAGGGCACTCTTCGAAGTTGCGATCAATTTCTAGGACACATAGGGTTAACCTAGCATCCCTTGCAGAACAGTTACAGGAAGGCACTGGAGTAGAGCTTGAGTATGTGAAGACCGATTTCCAAGCTGCCGATATCTTTACCAAGGCTTTGCCTCCACATAAGTGGGATCACGCCTTGAGGCTCCTGGGAATGCGCACAGACCTCCCAGAAGAGCTAGAAGATACTCGATTCAACATCAAAAAGTAGAAAGTCATTCCGAAAGCAGTGCTATGAGTACTAAAAGTGCCAAAATATCCTTCATCCTTTTAAAGCCTTGATGACCAGGGAGCAGCGTATCGCGCTCCAAAGCAAAAGCTTACCCTGCCTTAGTGCACACGGCGAGGGGGGAGTCAAGAAATAACGACCCCTTTGCGCCCAAAGGCATGGTAACTTGCCTAGTTGTGTGCTCACTGGTGTGAGGTTTGCATGAGGCCACTTTGGTTTAGGTTGAGGGTTGCATGACATGACAGACTTGTCAAACGGCAAACGCCGTTTGGCTCAAGCGCTCAACAAGAAAAAGAGCGCTGAGTGCGGAACTAGAGTTTAGGAACAACCCCCTGAACCGCTGAGGGATTAACCACGGTCAATCCACCTCTTTTTGTTCGGGGCGCAGCCTTCGGCGCGCGTTTGGGGTTTCTTGCTCTTTTGATTAATAATAATCAAAAACCGCTACCAGGGGCGTGTGAAGAAACATGTGTGCTAGTCAGGACGCGCGAGTCTGGAAGCAAAGGAAGTGTGAGTCAGACATACATGTTACAGGAAATTAGGCCGTGACGAGCAACGCCGACTCTGTTCTTGTCCCCGCATAGGGCTGCTATTGGCTGCCAGTTGGCCAAAAGCCTTTTTTTTCACGCCTGTCATTGTACTGCTTATTCCAG